AATAGTTAGACTGGTATGTCATTATTTATCATATATTGCACCTCAGATTGGCCATATTGACTCCGTTTGGACATAGTGGGGCATCGCAGTGGACAAACGATGAGAGAAACCTGCTGGCGGTCACTGTATGATCAATAAGAAATAATATCACTGTTGGCCCAGCTCAGATAATAGTCTGGGTCAACATGAAGAGAGCTGGGATTGTTTGCTCAGTCTCTGTTGACAGCTTAAAAGTTTATGAGGATGTGGCTGGATGCACTGAGGTGCTTTTGGTTAGCCCTGGGAGATTTGAAGGGATTTGGTTTATTGACATAGATACAACACAGATAGTTTTATATACACTGAGGATAAGTCTCAGTGCTTAGTGAGCTGTCTACGTCAGTGGCGTAACCAGGAATTTGGAGGATCACCATGTGATCTGTCCAATTAATCTGATGCATTAAGTGTACTCAGCCAATCTTGCCATATTATTAACTTTAATATGCGTAGGAAATAAAGTACGTTCATGACATGTCACCAAGAAATGACATCTTAACTTATAAAAACAGGTACCTTTTTCTCTTTTCTCCTCCTGCAGAAAACATGTAGCATTTCATCAGCTGGCACTACGATATCCCAATGCTCACAGTGTAGCTAGCAGGGTAATAGTTTTCAAACAGAAATGGGAAAATGCATTATTCCAGTTAGTTAATCCTGTATATAAGAGATGGTTGCCAATGAAATCTGATTAAAAAAACTAAGCGGCATATTCATTTGATGTCCGGAGCAGTTAGGAATCATAATGATGGCTTTGTTAAACTTTCTTGAACGTCATTATGGTCATTATAAAGACCCTCATTATAGTGCAATTACTGTGCAAAACATGTTATTAGGCATGTATATAATCAGCTGCACTGTGTGTATTATGATAACAACTCAAGAATAAGTATTTGGAAAGGTCAGAAGGGAGTTCAAACCCAAAATGCCAACCCTTAGCTATGCCTCTGGACTACAATGAAGAAAAGAGGGCTGTCTTAGTTCTTAAATATAAGAATGGTTATATTCCTTATTGAGCTTTTATAGTTATTAGCCTGTTGACTGATCACTTGAGTTGTATGGTTTTAATCCAAACTGCAGTAATTCACAAACAAGTTGGTTAACATTTGAGTAAATAAAGGTTGTTTGCAGAAAGCAGGAACTTTGCACAAACATCAAGCTTGAATGTTTCAGGCAGGTAATCAAGTACTAATGAAATAATGACAATTGAACTGCTTTGCATTGTGTGACTTAGGCATAACACTTAACATACAATTAAATGATTTAGCCTCAGATCTACACTGACGGTCAATAATCAAATCTATATTATATCAGTACGGACTGTCACTTCTTGGGGGGGTATTGATTTTGTTACACAGACTGAAGGATGAAGAACTCTGCCTTTGTTATGAAATAGCCTGTGCTTTCTTGGCATTTCTGCATGGCAACTATGGCTCTTAGCATGCTTCTTTCCTTCATCAGCCTACACATTGCGCCTGGGGAAAACAAGTTTCATGTTAGCTCTTCACCTTGCTCTCATTATCTCACACACAGTTCATAATAAGAGCCCTGACGAGGATGCATGTAAAGTGGTGATGTAACTACTATCTGGGTGTTTTTTGTTTTTTTTTTAAAAAACTCAGTAGATATTAGCACCCTGAGCACCATAAAGAAGGCCTAAGCCAAATGTATATGTATACCACAATTTTCTGTGAGTATCATGGGTATCGTCAGGATTTCTACCTCTTAATCAGATTACTAAATACTAAATTTGACTATGTTGAAGATATTTTCACTTGCCATGGTGTCTTTTTTTTTTTTTGTGGTGTATTGTTGTTCATTAGCGACATGTAGAAAACATGCCACACTGAAAAGCAAAACTTTTAATTGTATTGCACCTGATGTGTTCAATGAAGAAGAAAAAAACATAACAGGGGATTGCTTATTAAAATTACTCATTGAATTTGTGTAAAAAAAAATAATAATAATGTGAGCCACCTTTAAAAGCAGTCTATGCCACTGCATTGCATTTCACTGTATAATTCCACTTCAATCACACTGGTGTAAAACATGAAACACAATGCACAAACAGTATTGCTCTTTATTACTGACTTGCAGAAAACATGCCACACATCTTCATAACTGTTATTCCCAGTTCCTTTTTCAATCATTTGCTTTTTTTTTGTAATGCTTTTGAAGGAAAGCATCATCAAACTTAGTTTTTCATACTGTAGTGAAGTTAAATATCACAGTGCATATTGTGTATTGTGAAGACATCAGGTATCATGATATGATTTTTTTTTTTTTGCTATATTGTCCAACCCAAATATAGACATACCTGTACTGTATATCCTGAGATCTGGTTTATTAAATAAGGCAAAGTTTTGGCATGCATGGTCTCGATTTTTACCCAAAGTCACCCCTTTGAAAGAACCCTGTAACTGGTACAGTCCCTCTGGTATGGAAACACATGGCAGGTGTTCACAACATGCTTGGCGTGTGAATGACTTTGACAGCAGTCGACCATTCTCCGGCAGGCCGCTCCCTCGGCTGAGCTTGACCTGCTTGGCACTGAGCCATGCCAGGAACTCGGTGCAGAGTGGGATGGCACATATGGCTGTGGAGAGAGGTGGGGCTGCCGTGACTCACCTTCAGGCACTGTAAGGGTCGAACAGCTACTCCCAGTTGAACCGCCTCTCATTATGAACTGTGTGTGAGGTAACGAGAGCAAGGTGAAGAGCGCACGTAGAACTCGCTGCGTCAGTGTTCCCACAGGCACAGTGTGTAGGCTGATGAGGAGAGAAGCATGCTGGGTGTTATAGTTGGGTGTGGGCAATGCCAGGAGGCCAAAGGCCAGGTCTTTTTTCAGTTTTTTTCTTCCATTCTTCAGTCAGTGATTGAAGAAATTCAATTCTCACTGCAAGAAGTAAGTCAATATGGATGTATGGATTTGAGTACAGACAGTCAGTATAGATTTGAGGTTAAATCATTGCATCTTTGGTTGTTACACCTAATTCTTACAGTGTGAAGCAATTTAATTGTCATCATTTCATAAGTACTATCACTTCATCTTTGTAGTTTTCGGGCTTGAAGTTTGCACAATCCTGTCTTTTCATAAGTACTATCACTTCATCTCTAAAGTCTTCGGGCTTGAAGTTTGCACAATCCTAAACTGCTAGCTATAAGCTTTAGTTACTTCTTAGCTACCTTACCCTAGGTTTAAACGGTATGATTTTCAGCCTGATTATGCTGTCGCAGACAAAAAACAGACATCATAAATTGGTCATGCCATTGCAACAAAAGACAGCCGATGACAAAGTCCTGGTGATGTCAGAAATTTCGGATTAATATCTTACAGTGCGAGTGCTGCTGCAATGCTTGTCTAAAAACCACCATTAGAAAGATGACATGGGATCCAGCGAAACTGACATGATAGCTACAAATACATTAATGTCAATAGCAAAAGTTAAACAAAACATGCTAATGGATAGAAAATTATCCTTATTACCACAAGCTCACTTTGAAGAATATTTGTTTGCACGAGCCCGTTTTCTGCACAAGCCCGATTGATGACGTAAGCAGAATGGAGTCATTTTGCTTACTCGCAGGTCTATCGTTAGAGGATCTTCGCGATATAATCTGAAACGGAGAACATGTTATCACAGAGTCTGTTATAGAATTTGGCCATGATTTTATTGGGATCATTGTACAGTGTTACAAGCAATAATCTTAAAAGGCCACTGTAATCACAAAGTGTAAAACCAGCTTTAGGACACGACTAAAGAAGCAAACATCTGTGCTTCACTTCCAGCTTCCCCAGTTGCTGCAAAAGGCAAAAGTAAACAGGTTTTTGGTTCTGTAATAAATTATAACAGCTCATGCAATTCCCAGATCCATCCATCCTTGTCTGCAGAAAACATCTGCCTTAAAATTGGGATTAATGAGGATTATATCTATTCAGGATATGTAAAAAGAGGATTAATCTACAGATGAGGTGCACAACCTCACTCCCGTGAATGCTTATCTCTGCATTTGTGTGATTTGTTATTACAGATGCACTGCATATTCCATATAAGATTGAGTCACTCTTTTGTATTTTGGCTGACTGAATCATATTTTTCTCTGTCAGGGGTCTTTCGGCTTTACAAATGTCAAATTCTACTAAATCTCCAAACTCCCCCTTTGCACAATATTATTTTTTGTGTATGTAGCACATTTTACTTTGATATATACGGAGGAAACTTAAGCATGGTGCAATGGAAATATATGGCAGTATATATTTTGCAGTGTAAAAGTGGCAAATGGAAAAGGTCACATGTCCAGTAATTAGCCAGGAAGGAAAAGGGCAGGCAGATGAGCAAACCTGAATGTAAATGAGGCTGTAAACAAAAAAAAATCCCTGTGATACCTGTGGGAGACAAAACAACCTACAGTTAATGAGTCCACACAGATCATGAGCCACATTCTGGTTGAACTTTGGGTAACAATTTAAATGCGTTATACTTTCTCAAGATGTTATGGCCAGAGGTTAAATTGGAATTTAGGACGTGACGGAGCGCAGCTTATACTGTATATTTCCACCAACCATGTGGGAATAAAAGGTGGTCAGTATGTAACGAATAAAAACTCTTTGGGGTGTGCTGATGTAGGAAAATTATCAGCAGCGAGGTGGTGTGGAAAACAGCGTAATGTTCAACAATGTTCTTGTAACATTGAGTAAAAAAGTAGTTATAAGAACACTGACACCCAGCGATACTGACTTTTGTACTCAATATCATGATATTGAAATAACATTGTTATATTTCCCAGCCCTGTTATAAGGAGTTCTCAACACTGATATCATGGAAATGTGTTTTTCGAAATTACAAATGGCCTTTGGTGTTCCTTGTTTGTTTTGGAATTAAATTAATACCATAAGACAAAGATGATGATGGTGATGATGATGATGATGATGATGATTCTTCTTCTTCTTCTTCTTCTTCTTCTTCTTCTTAGCTCAGTCGGGTGAGCATGAGACTCTTAATTTCAGGGTCATGGGTTTGAGCCCCATGTCAGGTGCCAAACCCAGCCACTGGGGTGGCACAAGCTAGTGCAATCTCAGTGCCAGTTCCAATCCTGGATAAAATGGGAGGGTTGTGTCAGGAAGGGCATCCAACATAAAACCAGTGCCAAATCAAATATGAGGATCATAAAAAGAAAATTCCCATAATGGAGATGGAGGATCCTCTGTGGCAACCCCCGAACAAAAGCAGCCTATAGAAGAACCACAACATGATTCTTGTCTAACTGTTAGACTTCTGAGAATATTGCGAAGCAAACCACTATTAGAGCAATGTTTTTTGTTTGTTTGTTTTTTTTTGCAGAAATGTTACTGAAAATGCAGAAATCTTTCCTGAGCTTTCTGATAATATCGTTCACTGGGATGCTTCACTGTGCCTGAACATTGCATTGAATTAATGTTACAATGCAACGTTTATGCAACGTTCTGAAAACATTGCTACTACAGGTTTGCTTCACAAGTTTACAAATGTTTCCATTTACATTTATTTATCTGGCAAGTGACATCTTCATTTAAAGAAGACTTCCAATTAACCTGAGCAGTTGAGGGTTAAGGGTCTTGCTCAGGGGTCTATCAGTGGGCAGTCCTCAGAGTCCTAACAGCTGGACCACCACTGCACCAATTCTTCTCTAGTGAGCTAGTGAGCTCAAATCCCAGTGCTGCCTGAGAGAGCCAATTCCTGAGCAAGTTCCTTAACCTTGGAATGGATTCTGCTTCACTTATAATGCGCTTTGCACAAAAAGTCTGCCAAATAAATCAATGTGAATTGTATTATGTTTGATAAGTATTATTTACACTCCTCAAGGGTTATTTGGATGATGAATGGTTTTAGCTTGCTAAAGGAGGTCTACTTGGAACCTTTACGCTTTCCTTCAGAGAGAAAAACAGCCCTTTAGAGTGTTAGACGTAACCTTTTTTTTCTATGAGTGTACTGGAATTTGACCCCTTACCTTGCCAGCTTGCTAACATTCTTTGTTTTCTTTTCTTTCCAGGTCAAAGTAACAAGGACAAACTGCCTTATGAACCAACCAGACTATGAACTGCTGTCTCAACCTTTCCTCTTTTTACGTAAATGTCTTAATATGATAGTGTCTTAAGAACCATTGAAGGAACGCAAGAAGTGGCACTTTAATCAGTCAACAACTGGAGAAAACTAGAGCCAAGGCACTGGATTTTCTCAGCCTTTCTCAGTCTGGCGCTTCATGTCCGGCTTTTTTAAGCAGGAGCAACAGCGCCACCCTGTGGCTAAGACCCTCTCTTCTTCCTCTGACAGCAGAAACACAGCACAGGGGTTATGTAAAAAAAAAGAGCAGGCTGCATTCATCTCTGTGGACATCAACACTAGGGATGGAACTGGAAGATAAAAGACCGGATGTTGAAGAGTGCTGCGTTCTGATAGACTCCATTAGAAAAACTCACTTAACGAATGTTCCATAAACAGTCAGAAATGGCTTCAGTCATCTGATGTAGTGCTGAGTGGTTAATAGAGTAAATTAAGGAGAATTATACATGCGTGTTTACATATGGTAATTCCAGTCATTGGAATACCATTACTAGGTTGTCCTTATGTCTGATAACTGTACTCTGAACATGTTTTTAATCTGTGTTATGGATGTTTTCATCTTGAAAGTGCCAAGAACAGTTCCAACAAACCAAAACTGCCCAGAGATTTACAACAGCAGTCAAAAAAAAAAAAAATCCACCAATCAATTTCGCCTGTTGGACGTCGTTCGCAGATCAGTTGTATTTGTTGCATGAGGTGTCATGTTGAATCGCATATTTAATCGGTGACAGCAGGAATTAGCCGAGCCTTCCTCTAAGCTGGCTCAAAAGGTTCTGTGAATATTGTGCTTTCTAAGACGGTGTTCAGTCTCGTGAAGAAGAAAACGAAGAGAAAACAAACCTTCTTCCTATTCCAAGCTTTTTTTTTTTTAATTTCTAACATGTGTGCCAGTGTTCAGTCTTTTTCTAGTAGACTAATAATTTGTTGTAAAGGTGGGCCTTTCTGTTTAACTGTATATAGACACCTCGGGGGGGGGGGGGGGGGATCTGCGCTGTTTTTTCAGTAGTGTGATGTGAGAGGAGTGTGTGGTAGAGTTTGTGGTGTGGCCAAATGTGCTTTATTTTGTGTAGTTGCCATTGCAAGAACCCATGAGGAGCCCTCAAAGCGTATGTGCTTTCTCTGCAGAATTGTTCCTTTGACGTCACAGAACTAACAGCATTAGTTTTAGTCCATTAACACACTGCACACACTGCAGACAAATCATTTACAACACACACACACACACACATTCAGTTCTTTTACCTCCCAAGTGTACTGAATGGCCTTTTGTGGAAATACTATCAACCATGCTTCTAAGTGAATACAAAAGAAATGAGTTCCTCTTTTTAAGCTGCACTTTCACTCCCCAGTAGTATTTCAACATCTTTTATTAAATCTGGGATGATGCATGAAGGAAAGCAAAATCATTTAGAGGAGGAAATAACTCACAAATGAATCCACATCCTCTAAAAATAGTTGCATGTGTGTCTCTCCTGCGTGTAGTCACCCACCTTTTGAGAAACTAACGAAACAGAAGTCTCTGTGTTCAGAAAAACTTTCCAAGTCTTTACGAAAAGTGCATGACACTATCCTCCAATTAATAACACTTTGGCCTCCTGCTGACGAGCCGAAATGAGCATTTTTCATCACTTCCCTCATGAATTGCACTGGAGCTTTGATGATTAATCAAGATATCGCAGCAGCGCCACTTTTCAGGCTTTATCGGCTAATAATTCCCCACAGTCATCGCTCTTAGTTGCAGACATACAGGATGAATATGAATATGCTAGACGATAGTGTGAATTTACACCGTTAAAAGAGATCACAGTGTGTGTTACATCTGTCTTTGTAATTCTGCCTGGGAAATGAAATATTAAAGCGACAAAGGGTAAGCGGTGTGCAATTGACTTGAAAACCCAACTCGCAGGATTCATTAGTTTATTACACTGAGTTTATCACATCAGCTTGGCTGCAGCACCAGTTATATTACATTTCTCCTCAAAGACTTGTGTAAATATACAGTATCTCTATTCTAGACATGGTGCTTGATCAACCCTAACAAGATGAAGCAATCACGCGCCAGGTGCCATCTCTCACTCTGCCAACTGGTGAGAGGTTTACAGGATTGTTTATATGTAAGATTTGATGTCATGAGTTCAAATCAAGCAAATGGGAGACTGGGAGACCATTGTGAATGATGCTTCTTATTGGTTTATATATATAGGACACCATTCTGATGAGCTTTATATACCAAACGGTCTGTGTTTAATGAGTCTACATTTCAAAGAATGGCCTTGTAATAGTATTTAGAAGATACTTCCGAACTAGTGGTCAAATCTAGGTTTGTGAGAATTCTATCAAAATGTTTTAGTGGTTTTCTTAGGATCTCAATTTAGACCTCATCAACCACCAGACAGTCCAAACTTCAAGTCATTTATTCCAGTTTCTACACCCTTTAGTCTAGGATTACCTGGCTTCGGTGGTTTTCGACCTGGAACAAAGCAAAAACATGGACTATTTGGAGGTTCTGGAGGTCTGGATTGGATTTTTTTCTGCAGATTTAGGCTGGAATGACTGGGTTCAGTGCTGTGTTCAGTTTTTTGAATAGACCTTGTATTTTTTTCTATTTCTGTTCCTTTACAAGAATGACTGTAAATATAATAAACCACAGTGGAACAAAAACTTGTAATTTTATTTATTTGGTAGTAAAAGTGTCTGAAATGATGAATTCTAACAGAGTCTGACTGCTGCTTAATTATAAATCTATAATATAATATATATATATATATATATATATATATATATATATATATATATATATAAAATGTCAGGTCCAGAGAGTTGATGTTTTTGACGGAGTTTTTGTGATTTTGCCTTTACACACCACCACAATTTGAAATATTTGAAATAAAACAATTAAGATGTGATTGAAGCGTAGACTTTCAGCTTTATTTTAAGAGGTTCCACAAAACTATGGCATTTACCATTTAGGAATTACAGCCATTTTAAGCAAAGTACTTCCATTTTCAGGGGCTCAAAGGTATTTGGACCAATGACTGACAAGAAGTTAATTGACCAGGTGCGGTCCATTCCCTCTTTACTTCAAGACAAATGAAGCAGATAAAAGGTCTGGAGTTGATATCAGGTATTGAGTTGGCATTTGGCAGCTGTTTGACTGGAGCTACCAATATGAAGTCCAAAGAGATCTCAATGCAAGTGAAGGAGGTCATCATTAGGCTGAAAAACAACATAAATCTATAAGAGAGATAGCAAAAACCTTAGATGTGGCCAAATCAACAGTTGGGTACATTCTTAAAAAGAAAGAAAGCACTGGTGAGCTCAACAACATTGAAAGGCCTGGAAGACCATGGAAGACAACTAAAGTGGATGATCGCAGAATCTCTTCCTTGGTGAAGAAAAACCCCTTCATAACATCAACAGAAGTCAAGAATACTCTGGAGAAGGTAGGCGTATCATTGTCAAAATCTACAATCAAGAGACGCCTTCATGAATGTAAATACAGAGGGTTTACAACAAACCACTGGTAACATTCAAGAACAAGAAAGCCAGATCAGACTTTGCCAGAAAACATCTAAAAAAGCCTCCCATGTTCTGGAGGAATAAGATTCTTTGGACTGATGAAACCAAGATTAACTTGTACCAGAATGATGGGAAGAGAAAAGTACTGTACACACACACACACACACACACACACACACACACACACACACACACACACACACACACAGTAGTGGGCTGCCCTTTTTTTTTTTTTTTTACAGTGCCCAGGGAGTAGTTGGGGGTGCCTTGCTCAAGGGACTCACCTCATTCATGGTACTGAGAGTGGAAGAGAGCACTGGTCATTCACTCCACCCACCTACAATCCCTGCCAGACCTGAGACACAAACCCACAACCTTCAGGTTACAAATCTGACTCTCTAACCATTAGGCCACGAC